AGAAACGCCCTAACCTTTGGAATAGAAATTGATAGGATTAAAATCAACTGGTATAAATACAGATGTAACAAGACAATAAAACACAGAACTTGGCTGGAGATCCTGGCTAGAGAACCTGGCTAGGCTGCTGATCAACTGAATGTTGTCTCTGTGTCATTCCTTCTTTGCCAACTCTGTCCACACCTTTGGGAACCCCTGGACCTGCTGGGGTTGGACCCCAAAACGCACTGTACATTCGCGCCCGCATGTGGTATTTTGTGGAAAACCCACACTCAAGGGGCCAAAGAGCTGCATGTGGCTCGTGAGCTGCGGTTTGCCGACCACTGTACTAAAGGAAATTAAAATGCCAGCTATACTTTAGAGTAGGGGTGGGGAACATACAGCCCATGGGCCACATAAGCCCACAAATTTTTTTGGTTTGGTCATGCCCAGGCAATCACAGGTAGGATTCAAACTTCAATAAACCTAGGAGCTTTTTTCATAGCAACATAAATTTATATTAAGTGAATAATGTTACAAATATCCAAATGGCCCTTGGCAGAAAGAAGGTTCCTTACCCCTGCTTTAGAGGAAGGTTTCCAAAGGCTTAGGAAGCCTGGAATGTTAGAGTGTTTGTATCAGGTAAGTCCCTGATTCAGCACCTTGCCCAAGATCCTAAGTGCTAGTGCCTCTTTTCTTTCCTAGTATAAAACAGGCTGCTATTATGTCAATTAAATGTAGAAACAAAATCATTTTCAAAGTCAAATTACAGACATACTATCAGTCTTTGTATGTGAGCATGAATATTCTTTTAGGTCTGAAAACTATATAAAGGGTGTCCCAAAATTCACGCAAGAAGTAATTTTGGTAGAAAACACAGGTTTATATTTATAATTAAAAATTGTAATTTTTTTATTGATTCACAAAGTATACAGTATAGGGTTATGTATGAAATAGCATATCAGGTAAATGGCCTTTACAGCTTTGCTGGCACATATGCACTCTTTTGTTGAAATTTTCCATGACTGTTTTGCATAAATGTGGCTGAATTTCGATGAGGCTCATTTTCATCTTGATGGCTTGGCTAGCCAACAAAATTGTCACATTTGGGGTTCAGAAAATCCATGGGTGATTGTTGAGAAACAAATGCATCCACAATGTGTCACTGTTTGGTGTGGATTTTGGGCTGGAGGCATCATCAGACCATTCTTCTTCGAAAATGCAGCTGCTCGGGCAATAACAAAAGAGTGTGTACGTGCCAGCAAAGCTGTGGAGGCCATTTACCTGATATGCTATTCCATACATAACCCTATACTGTATAATTTATGAATCAATAAAAAATTTACAATTTTAAATTATAAACCTGTGTTTTCTATCAAAATTACTTCTTGCGTAAATTTTGGGACACCCTTTAAATATGTATACATTAATGACACATTATTTACACATCTGTTGAGAGGATGTGACCCTGGTTGACCTGTAAGCAGGGTCCAGGCAATCGGAATCTCCTCTCCCCTCCCCTGTCCTTGGTATGTACGTTATGCCCACTGTTCCCACAGCAGGAGCTGTTTCAAGGATGCAGCCTCGAGAGACCATTTGGTCTGAATACATGACTGTACCCAGGTAAGGCCTCTGTATAAACGTTTAAGATTCTGGCAGGTGGGTGTGGACCCACCAGTCATGCAGCCACCTAGACAACCCTTCTATGCAAGTTCACTTACTTATTAAACTGGTCACCTACCAACCTGGAGTGCTCCGCCTCTTTCTTTGGCTTTTCATTTCCCTTTGTGTATGGGGCCCAGTTTTCAAATCAACAATATCATTAACTTTGGAAGGCTGACCCGTCTTTCAATTCAGATATTGTTTTCAAAAATCCTGTATTTGATAACCAAAAGAGATTGAAAATTGCTTTAAGTTAACAAAATAATAAATCAAATCTCAAGAATGTCTCACAAACTGCTTTTCCCCTCCTTTTATAAGAACTAATCTTTGTGGTTACTCCGTTGCCTCCCAAGAAACTCCAATAATAGTTTTGGTTTAAAAGATAAAATAATTTTATTTTTCTGAATCTGGGGTCAAAATTAGGAAAGGCATTATTAAAAAGCATTGGTCAAAAAATATTTGGTGTGTTGGCTCCTTCACTAGTCAGAGTAATATATTTAAAATATGCAAAGATTAACATAATATACATTGAAAATTCTAGTTCTCTTCGGAGTAAAGAATTCTTCTTGCTCTATTTAAAATAAACCAGGAGCATGGTAAAAGACAGCATGAAAGCACAAAAGTAGACTCATGAGAATTAAAAGTCTATATAAGCAAGGGAAAAATAAGCTATGATTATCTGAGTAAAATCGGAAGATGCTAAATAATAATTCTTTTTTTTTCCCCCTCAAAGGAAAAGCTAACTTTATAATCTACTAGTAAGGTCACAATTTTTGTTTACCTATCAGTTCTCTCCTTTCTGTTATGTATGACTCTTTTTTTTTTTTTTTTAACTTTTTGGTATGGTATGATGGATTTAAATGTAAAACATTCATATTGTAAAGTTTTAATTTTTTGCCTTAAAATATAATTAAACATTCCCATATAAGGCAATCCTATATAATAACAGCCTAATATGCTAAGTGTCTAATCATTCATTCAACCATTCGACCAGTTGCTATGATGCACACTGACCACCAGGGGGCAGATGCTCTGACTGGTAGGTTAGCTTGCTGTTGGGGTTCAGCTGATCGGGACAGGGCGAGATGGGCCAACACGCCCTGGAGCCCTCCTACGGTCCCTCCTTGGCCCCGGTCATACACCAGTGGGGTCCCTTGGCCTGGCCTGCGCCTTCTCGCAATTCGGGACCCCTCGGGGAATGTCAGAGAGCTGGTTTCAGCCTGATCCCTGCAGGCCAGAACGAGGGACCCCACTGGTGCATGAATCTGTGCACCGGGCCTCTAGTGTATATATAAAATTAATGTTAACAATTTGACTTAACCTTTATAAAATATAAATGCACATACACTGAGTGGCCAGATTATTATGATCGGCCAGATTATTATGACCACCCCATCAGTACAATGAAGTGAATTAGTTATGCAAATAATAATAATAATAAAACCTTGAGAGTATTTGCTTAGGAAGTTTTCAATATTCAGTATTTTTGGAAGTGTCAATGAAGTACTGATGGGGTGATCATAATAATCTGGACGGTCATAATAATCTGGCCACTCACTGTATATGTAAATATATATGCAGATATATACATATGTGCAAGAATATAATACTATATGGCAACTCTATATTTTTGTTCTCTCTGATTTAGAGAGAATGATTTCCATAGGAATTTCTTTATTTTTTTTGTAAATAAAAAATTATTTATTCATAGCTTTTGAGTAAAGTCAGTTGAAAGTAAATTAGTCATTCTTTAAAAAACAACACAGTCACTGTTGGTATTAAAAAGTCCCATTAAAAAATTGCTTTTTAGAACTTATGCAAATGATTTGAGTAGGCTCGCTCCCTAGGTTCACATAATTTATAGCACTATCTGAAACTAAGATCAGTCTGTTTAGTAAAAACTTCGGTTGTTATACTAGTAAATCAGTCTGGTTGAACATATTCTCATTTTTATAATTGGAAATATAAGTGACACAAGTGCTAGTTTATCTAACCAGTAAACCAGAATAGAAAGCTTTGAAAGTTTCAATTAGTTAGGCTTTCTATAAATAAATTAAGTAAAGTCTTGGATAAATTGGAGTATTTCCTGGTATTGTTTTAACATTGCATTATTTTTACATTCTGATAAAGTCAGAGAGAAAGCATATTATCCAGCCAGTATAATTTCAAAGAATTCACCTTGATTAAATGTATTAATTACTCTCTTGTTAGACATGTATACTAATTATTGAAATGTATTAAATAACTTAA